CTGCTTGTTCTCAAGGCAAATTAATTATAAGGCCTTCATTGACAAAAATAGGAGTTGAATCTCCTGCATTTCTAGAGCGTATCCAAGGAGATATATGTGGACCTATCCATCCACCATGTGGACCATTCAAATATTTTATGGTTTTAATAGATGCATCTACAAGATGGTCCCATGTGTGTTTGTTATCAACACGTAATTTAGCATTTGCTAGATTACTTGCTCAAATAATTCGATTAAGAGCACAGTTTCCAGACCATGCAATTAAGACAATTCGTCTTGATAACGCTAGTGAGTTTTCATCTCAAGTTTTTAATGATTATTGCATGGCAACTGGAATAACAGTAGAAAAATCTGTTGCTTATGTCCACACTCAAAATGGCCTAGCAGAGTCATTTATTAAACGCCTCCAATTGATTGCTAGACCAATGCTCTTGAGAACAAAACTTCCTATTTCAGCTTGGGGACATGCAATTCTGCATGCAGCAGCAATTATACGCATCAGGCCAACAAGTTATCATGAATTCTCCCCGTTACAATTGACTTTTGGTCGAGAGCCAAATATTTCCCATCTTAGAATTTTTGGATGTGCGGTATTTGTCCCTATTGCTCCACCACAACGCACAAAGATGGGACCTCAAAGAAGGTTAGGGATATATGTTGGCTATGAATCTCCTTCTATAATTAAGTATTTAGAACCATTAACAGGAGATTTGTTTACAGCACGTTTTGACGATTGTCATTTTGATGAGACAATTTTTCCAATATTAGGGGGAGATAATAAGCAGCTGGATAAAGAAATCATATGGAAAGCATTATCATTATCTCATCTAGATCCTCGTACACAACAATGTGAACTTGAAGTTCAAAGAATAATTCATTTGCAAAATATTGCAAATCAACTGCCAAATGCATTCACTGATCCTAAGAGAATTACTAAATCTCACATTCCAGCTGAAAATGCTCCAATTAGAATTGATGTCCCAGCAGGACAACTAGAAAGCGCAAGTGAAACCAAACCACGCCTGAAGCGGGGTAGACCAATCGGTTCCAAAGATAAAACTCCTAGAAAGAAAAAAGGAGCAAATAATCATGATGGTCATGATAGTCAAATTGAGGAGGCAAGTCCTATAGGAGAGGACCGAAACATAACTAATCAAAAGACCTCAGAGGAGGCTCAGGTACCTGAAAATAATGAAGAGATCTCAATAAGTTATGTTACTACAGGAAAAAGATGGAACCGAGAGAACACAGTTGTTGACAATATTTTTTCATATAATGTTGCTGTTGAAATAATTAATCAACATGAGGATCTTGAACCTACATCAGTTGAAGAATGTAGACATAGAGATGATTGGCCAAAATGGAAAGATGCAATTCAAGCAGAGTTAAATTCACTTTCAAAGCGTGAAGTTTTTGGACCTGTAGTCCATATACCAAATGGTGTGAAACCAGTTGGATACAGATGGGTCTTCGTGCGCAAACGAAATGAGAAAAATGAGATTGTTAGATATAAAGCACGGCTTGTAGCACAAGGATTTTCACAAAGACCTGGTATTGATTATGAAGAGACATATTCTCCTGTGGTGGATGCAATCACTTTAAGATATATAATTAGTTTGGCAGTCCATAGAAAACTTGAAATGCGTTTAATGGATGTTGTTACGGCATATTTATATGGTTCTTTAGATACTGAGATTTATATGAAAATCCCTGAAGGATTTAAATTGCCAGAGGCATGTAAGAATTCTCGAGAAAATTATGCAATTCGTTTGCATAAATCCTTATATGGATTAAAACAATCTGGAAGAATGTGGTATAACCGACTTAGTGAATATTTGTTGAGAGAATGTTATAAAAATGATCCAATTTGCCCATGTGTTTTTATAAAAAGAAATGGATCAGAGTTTGTTATAATTGCTGTCTATGTGGATGATTTAAATATAATTGGAACTCCTGAAGAGCTTCAAAAAGCAGTTGATTGTTTAAAGAAAGAATTTGAAATGAAAGATCTTGGAAGAACAAAGTTTTGCCTTGGCTTGCAAATTGAGCACTTGACAAATGGAATTTTCCTTCATCAATCAACTTATATTGAAAAAGTATTAAAGCGATTTTACATGGATAAGGCACATCCGTTATCTACTCCTATGGTTGTAAGATCACTGGATAAGGATAAAGATCCTTTTCGTCCTCAAGAAGATGAGGAAGAACTTCTTGGTCCTGAAGTACCATATCTCAGTGCCATAGGTGCATTAATGTATCTTGCTAATTCAACACGACCTGATATTGCATTTGCTGTTAGTTTATTGGCAAGATTTAGTTCTTTCCCAACAAGAAGGCATTGGAATGGAATTAAGCATATATTTCGATATCTTCGAGGGACAATTGATATGGGATTATTTTACTCTAATGAATCAGAATCACAATTAATTGGCTATGCAGATGCAGGATTTCTATCAGATCCACATAAAGGCAAGTCTCAAACAGGATATTTATTTATTTGTGGAGGTACAGCGATCTCATGGCGTTCAACAAAACAAACTTTATCAGCTACCTCATCAAATCATGCGGAAATAATTGCAATTCATGAGGCAAGTCGAGAATGCGTTTGGCTGAGGTCAGTGACTCAACATATTCAAAAAATGTGTGGTTTTTCCCTTGAACAGAAGATTCCAACAGTATTATATGAAGACAATACAGCATGCATAGCTCAATTAAATGGAGGATATATCAAAGGAGACAGAACAAAACATATTTCTCCAAAGTTCTTTTTCACTCATGATCTTTTGAAAAGTGGTGATATAGATGTTCAACAAATTCGCTCATGTGACAACCTTGCTGATTTGTTTACCAAGACACTGCCGACTAGAACATTTGAGAAGTTAGTGTATGGTATTGGAATGCGCAGACTTAAAGACTTAAAATGATGTTATCATTAGGGGGAGTAAATATTGTGTACTCTTTTTCCTTCACTGGGTTTTTGTCCCAATGGGTTTTTCCTAGTAAGGTTTTAATGAGGCACAATACTCATTATGGACATCCAAGGGGGAGTGTTATGAATATTGCATGAGTGGATGTCCATAACCCCTAACCCTTAGAATTCTCATAGGATTCCTCACCTTCAAGTGTCATAAACTACATAACCTTCCTAATGAATGACTTGGGAGGAGTTTCTCATTGTTAATGCCATTATAATGTTCTTTATTCCTTTGTAACCTTAGTATAGGACTTCAATGCTTGGAGGCCTATAAATAGAGGGCATGCATGAGGCATTTGTACCTTGAACCAAAGTGAATGAGAAAAGGCCATTGTCTTCTCTATCTCTTGCTTTCTTTTCTACTCTTCATTCTCCTTATTTCTTGTTTATAACAGGAGGGAGTTTTTTTAATAAGATAATATTTACTTTTGTCTAAACATTTAATGATTTTTTTTCAATTTTACCCCCATATATTCTCTTTCCTCTTTAATTCATTTATTATATTTTTTTTACTTATTCTCTTCATTAATAAAGGCATATTTAAAAATAAAAAAAAATACATGTCTTATATATTTATTGTTTTAAACTGATTTTAACTAATTTTTTGATAAATGTAAATAGATAAAATTTATCTTATATTTTAAATAGGAGGGAGTAATTTATAAAATTAGGAAGAGACAATTGAAGTTATTGAGATCTATATACTTGTCATGTTGTATCGTCTGCTATACAGAGCTCTATGGTTAGCCAGTATTATTGTCCTACTAGTTCTTCGAGGGTTGCAACTTCCCACTAGTTTTTTGAGGGGGGATGCATGGTCTACTGAGTGCTCTATGGTCTTTGGCTGATCTACATTACTCATGTGATGATCTTATGAGAGTAGCCAGTTAAATGAAAAGAACTTAGCCTATGAGTCTCGTCAGCGGAAATGAGGAGCATACAAGGGTGGATTTGGGTTCATAGATTGCATAAGATATAGAATCTTTGTTGATATTTATATCTTTTGAATAAATGAAATGTATGTTATCTGTTATGATATTATCGACTACATGAGACTAGTAGAAATATCTGACTTATATGATCATTGTGAGTTTAACTGTTAAATAAATATATATTAACTATTATTAACTCTACGTATGAAATATCATTCATTAAACCCCTTTTAGTATGCGTATAGAAGTATTATGGTTCATGGGAAATGTTAAATAAGCCTGTGACTAAATTAGCGACAAAATTTCTGTTGCAATTCCGTCAGAAATTAGCGACGGAATTTTTTTCTGTCACAAGTTCTGTCGCTAATCAGCTGTTTTTTTGTAGTGCGTCTACATTTTCCTATCTCTTTCTTGTAACACTTCATATGATAAATTATTTACCTGGAAAACATAAACACAAGAGATGACTACAAGTCGTTCTAAGTAAAGTTTGGGCATCGTCACTCTCAATCCCTAATTAGACTTCGCACCGTCTTCTACCCTAAATACAAAGAAAAGAAAAGATTACAGACCTCAGATGGACAATTCTCAAACCTTCATTTGCTATGCACAGAGAAAACACTTACAATAATCATGCCTAGGGTTTCCTTTCTCTTCTCTCCTTTACCTAACCCTAATTTCTCATCATGGCACTATCGCCCAGCAAGACTTCTTAAACCATTTTTGTGGTGAAGGCCCCGTGGACAGCAATAGTTCCTTCCGATCCAACCTCAGTAACCTTTTACTAAACATGTCTTTCAACACACAAATTGACTATGGTTTCTACAACTTCTCCTCTGACAACAACTCTGACAAAGTTTACGTCATCGAACTATGCTGAGGAGACATTACTGTACAAGATTGCCGCAATTGCATCCAAGATTCGAGGGTGATTATTCTCCAAGTATGTGCACCTAATGCAAGGGAAGCAATCGGGTGGTACGATATCTGCTTTCTGCTATACTCAAACCGATCGATATTTGGTGTGATGGAAACATCACCGGGTTACAATTCGTCAGACAGCTCCGACGCTTTGGAGAAAGACGAGTTCAAGAATGAGTTATCTGAGAGAAAGGGCTGCTTCCCGAGACTATCTGCGGAAGTTTGCAGTGGCGAATGCTAGTGGTCCAGGCAATCAAACCATATACAGCCTTGCACAGTGCACGCCGGACTTGTCGAACAAGGATTGTGACATTTGCCTGAGAGGGGCAATCTCTGATATTTCTAAATGTTGTGACGGAAAGAGAGGTGGTCGGGTGGTCTGACCCAGTTGCTACATTAGATTTGGACCCGATAGCTTCTTTGACGCTTCTGCATACAATAACACACAACTATTCGTGCAGTTACCGTTGCCTCATCCCGCCTCCAAACAAGGTAAACTTATACGATCAAGGCTTTTTTTAAAAAATTAAACTAGATCAAGAAAATATAATTCTAAAATTGAAAATTACTGCCTATATATAGTTTGTGTTTGGATTAGTTGTGGAGAAATAATTTTGGGCCGTATGTACTCCCTCCGGTCTATAATATAAAATGTTGGTTAAGTTTTCTCACAAAACAAAAAAGTTAGGAAAGTCATTAAATATGTTTTAAATTGATAAAAGTTATTTATTTTATCTTTATTAAAGAATGTGATTGGAAAATTCTTCCCTCTTTCTCTTGCATTTAAAACTCTCCCCTCTATGTAATAAGAGGTAAAAATGAAAAACTATTATTAATTTCTTTGTCAACATCTTATATTTTGGATTAAAATTTTCTTCTAGAAAACTTCTTATATTATGAATGAGAAAAAGTGTGTGAGAAGAATTTTGTCTCAATTAAATAGGGTTGAGTTTAGCAGAAGAGGTTAATCTTTTATAATATAGTGAATCAATATTAGAATTCCCATTTTAAAAAAAGTTCAGAACTAATACTAAATAGTATCTCAAACAGGTTTCCAACGAGAATGAGAATATGCCTGTGCAGTGGCATTTGTTACCCGTCATAATTCACGGTTGTTACCCCTTATAATTCACGGGGTCTTACATTTCAAGATATCTTAACCCTTTTAAAAGGCATATATCAGAGCTTTTTTTTCCTTTTTTTTTTCCTTTTGGAAAATTTATTGAATTTAACTTATCAGGATCAACTTGTCACAAATATAAGTGCAAATTTTGCTTTGTGCAGGAAAGAGAAACAAGTCATCAAGGATTGTTACTGCCGCGGTTGTTGCCTTCACCGCAGGACTCACCTTACTCATCTTCATCGTTGTAATATATTTAAAACCAATGAGGAGACCCAATAAAATTGGAAGTAAGTCAACGTCTCATGTTTATAATATTATACTTCTCTTGTTCTAAATATAAGACCCTTTTTGTAGTGTGATTTACACTACAAAAGGGGTCTTATATTACACTACAAAATGGGTCTTATATTTAGAACCGTAGGAGTTACACGAAACATATGAAAATGTTCCTATGCAAGTATATATCGCCTTAACTAAATACACGGTTGCCAACAATTTGATTAAATTATATATATTAATTATTTATATTTTATTGAAAAGTCAAATCACCAATTTTTTTATTAATGCTATTTTTGTCAAAAATTTAAATTTAGATTAAAAATATATACTTTGAAAGTAAATAAAAATGTATGTGTATTCTGCAGAAATAATTCAAAATACATAATTTATTTTTTTACATTGAATTTTAAGATTGAATGATAATTATTGTCCAAGTTCAAGGTCGAAAAATTATTATTCATTTTTCAAAATTAGTTATTAGAGGAACGTATTTTCATATGTAGTTGATATATAGTTATTAATAATTAATCATAACTCCCTGTACTATACTACCATCCATGTTTATATAGCTGAAGCTAAGGATGCTGCCGACTCATTGCAAATGGACTTTGAAACCATCGGAATGGCAACAAATGATTTTGCTGATGCAAATAAGCTTGGACAAGGTGGATTTGGAGCTGTTTACTTGGTAAGATACTAAATTGTGTGTGTATTAAATGAGACTACTCCGGTCTTAAATACAAAACCCATTTTATAATATAAATTACATTACAAAATTGGTCTTATTTAGGAGCGGTGGAGTATATGATTAAAATGTTTTATAAGAAATAACAATAAAGTCAGATTCCTCCCATTCATTGCATTATTCAAACTCAATGGTCTAGTTTCGTGTGCGCGCTTTTTTGTTTTAATATATAATTCCAGGGTAGGTTGTGTAATGGACAAAAGATTACTGTAAAAAGGTTGAGCAGGAATTCTGGGCAAGGTGATGTGGAGTTTAAGAATGAAGTGTTGCTAATGGCCAAGCTACAGCATCGGAATTTAGTCAAGCTCCTTGGTTTTTGTCCTAAGAAAGAAGAAAGGCTTCTTGTTTATGAGTTCCTTCCTAACAAAAGCCTTGATTACTTCATTTTTGGTATGTTAACTAATGCTAATCTTCCATGTCTTCCTTTCTTTTAATTTCTAGATCATAATAATCGATCTATATTCGGAGAGGTTAAATTTCTAAAATATTCGTATCACCGTTCTCATGTAAGTAAGTTTACTTCAATAGATTATTACTTTAAATCATGGAATTTGTTGTCCATGACTTAATGCAGACCCAATCAAGAGATCATATTTAAATTGGCAAAAACGTGTCAAAATCATAGAAGGCATTTCTCGAGGTCTTCTTTATCTCCATCAAGATTCTCGAGTACGGATCATTCACCGTGATTTGAAGCCAAACAATATCTTTTAGATGAAGACATGGATGCTAAGATCTCAGATTTTGGTATGGCAGGTTATTTGCAGTCGATCAAACTCAAAGCAACACAAGTAAAATTGTTGGGACTTAGTAAGTTTATATATATTCTAGATTATATACTATTGCTAGAGCTATAATTAGATTAACTAAGTTTAAATACTAGTTACCTTTTGACATGCACATGTAGTGGATACATGGCACCAGAATATGTAAAACATGGAATCTTTTCAACAAAATCAGATGTTTTTAGTTTCGGAGTATTGGTTTTAGAAATTATAAGTGGCCAAAAGAATGGTGAATTCCACAATGGGGGGACCATAGAGCATATAGGAACTATTGTAAGTTAATTATTTATAATAAATAGATGTTGTCTTTCTCAAAATATCTTTGCTAATCAAGTATATTGGTTAGAACTACCATTAGTAGAAGGAATACCTTAAGAAAAAATACATAAATATGAGAGACAAAGTAGATTGGAGTCCTATAATTAGGACCAAAATAAAAGTCAAATAAGATCTTATATTAAGGACCAGAGATAGTATCTCACATATTTCTCCTAAGTGTTGTACAGAAAATTGCCTAGCATATGCTATAAAACTAGTATGGAATTTGGACACATGTAACTCACCCAACACATGCTGCAACACTAATGTTATATCTTCCGCCAATATTTTTCTTTTTGGGTACACATTCCAACTGAGAGTATGGAATTTGGCCGATTTATATCTCCAGCGCAATGCACCCCAGACTCCATACATCAACCAGAAGTCCATGACCTTGATTCTTTCCTTTCACGAGCTGCACGTTGCAGCTTAGTAAATAACAGCTTAGCTTTAAAAAATTAAAATAAAACCTAACGTCCCTGTAGCAGGAACATCCTACCATGTTCAAGGACTACAATTTCGTCCGGAAAGGAATGTTTCTTTTGATTCATGAAAGTTCTTGTTTCAAATACGCCGCACCAAGGTAGCCATTAAGAAAGTTAATATAATTTTTTGTTCCTTAAATTTATCCTTATTTTGATTTTAATCTCTTATATTTCAAACTATAGGTTTTAGTCTCTTGAAGTCCTTTTTATTTAAAATATTAGTTCCTATAATTCAATAAAAACTTCAAATATCTTACCTTTTAAGGGATCAAAACTTATGGTTTGACACCTGAGGGACTAGAATCAAAATAAGAACAAACTTGAGGAACCAAAAATTATATTAACCCTGTTAAGAATGCATCATTACTACATAATTTTCATTGCTTTGTATCATTGATCAAATTTTAAGCTGAAGAAACTGGATTTAGGTGAAAAGGTCAAAATGAAATGCATAGTAAAGATTGACCATGAAGCTGATCAAGTCATTAAGTTATTCAGTTAACTTTGGCAAACCTTCTATCTTTAATATAAGACATAATTAACTTATTTGGAAAACTTAAGAAAGTTAAATAAATTACTTTAAAATATTATATTTATTGTTTTTTTTTTCCAAAATTAATTTGCCCGGCCTATAAACTGATACATAACTTAATGATACAAATTAGTATTTTAAAGAAATAATGTAACATATGTTTTAATTAAGTACTATTTTATTTTTTTAAATTTTCTTAAATTAGTCAACTGAATTTTATATTAAGAATTGGATGAAGTATTTAATTAAGTAACCTCAGCCAACTTCAACTGATTATAAAATTATGTTTTCAAACGAAAGCATAGAAGATTCTTGTTGTATAATATAAGTGTTCAGTTTATCTAGGTAGATGTACATCATAGAAGTCCAACATCAACTCTACCATTGGATAAGCCTCCTTAATAATATTATAAATAGATGTAACAAAATCTTTCCTTTATCAAGGATTTCAAAAATATTCTCTCTCTCATCTTGCTTTTCTAATCACCTGAAAAGTCCACGAAAAATTAAGTATTCCAGTGCTTGTATGTGGTTTATTAATTCATGTCTACGATACTAATAGAATATAAGATTAATTAGATTATTTTATTTTATTTTAAGATTTAGGATTTCTTGTTTGTTTAGAATTCTCTTAGATTTGATGTGGATTAGGATCTAGATTAGGTTGGATTATTTCATTTATCTACGATATAGTTTATTTTAATTCGAAGAAAACACTATCCTACATAGTTTAATTAAGATTAAGGAAAGAATTCTATAGATACAATTAGGATTTTTCATTTGTCAGATAGCATGGATGAATTGAACGCAGCATTGTCCGATATAGTTCTCACTTCTAAATCTCTCCCCCAATTTTTCCTCTCCCTCCTTTGTTGTTTTCTCTCCATTCTCTCTTCTCTCTCTTCCTTGCTTATTTGACTTCTTTTTAAGGTCATTATCACACACGATATATAACCTCCGGTCTTAAATACAAGAGTTTACCAAAGATTCAATTCGGTTTTAAATATAAAATCCTAATCCACTTTATTTTTCATATTTGTTTATTTATTTTCAAAGCAAATCCCATGATGATTACACCTATTAAAATATTTTTATTCTAATGCATATTATTAATAAATATATTTTAGAAAAAACAATAATCATTTATTACAAATAATTAATTTAACAGATTTTTTAATATTTACAAATTAGTTATCTATATCTAACTCTTATATTAAGAACCAGGATAGTATGATATATTGTTGTCAATTGGATTTTGCTCTTAAGATACTATGGCCACATTCATAGTGAATTCCATGAACCTGGAAAGAACAATATTAAGGGATAAGGTTTGGACAAAAAAAGTACGATCTGGTGTATTCATTTATGGATCGAAGAGTAAATAATTACACTATTTTAATTTAGCAGTTGAACTAATACAAGAAAAAAGTTTAATGCCAAAACTTGCCAATTTTTCTTATTGTTTCAGATTTGTTCTAAAAATCTTTTTAGTGTGTGTAAATATCAAAGTATCCATATCACATACATACAAAAAGCAACAAATAGGATTGAAAGGATGTTTAAAGCACTACACTTTCTGAACCCAAAAAAAAAAAAAAACTCTCAAAATGCGTGGGTTTCTTTTTAATTTAGAGTATTTCTCTTTGGAAAATCTCAAAAATTTCAAAACTACTTCATAATATATCAAAATGTCGCTCATTCTATACAGAACTTAATTATCAAAACAAACAAGAAAAAACATTTCAGAAGTTAGAGAAATTTAAGTGGTAATAAGGAGGACAGCAGAGGGGTACAAAAGACTTCTCAGGTCTCCATGAACATGAGACGCTTATCAATCTCAATGCTTTAAATTTAATTTTTGTAGTTTTAATAATTTTTTAATGAATCTAAAGATATAATTTTAGTACAGTCACTTTTTTCCCCAAAAATATCGTTTAGTAAAAAAAATATATTAAAAACTTTAAATTTAGACTATTCAAACTAAATTTGGAGAGTATGATGAGCTCTAAATGAAAAACCAATTAAAATTTATGGAGTTGACGTCACACAACTCAAATTAAAAATTAATTTTTGAGCGAATATTAGGTTTCATTATGTCTTCTAAGTTATGTAATCTTAAATAACACGTCTTTCATTAACACGTCGTTTGGTTCGCTGAGATTATGTGGGAATAAAGGAGAGAATTGAATATATAGGAATCGGAAAGAGAATGTGAATTGGTTTTAAAAACTGATTTGATCTGTCTGAAACAATCCATGGAATCAAAAGATAATTTTTGTTTGACCAAATTCCGGCCAACCAAACAAGGCTTTAAGTAAATAGAGTATTGATTTACACATTAATTAAAGCTCTATATATATGATGATATTACTAAACAAATTGCTTTATTTATTCTTTTATTTAAGCCTGAAAATTGTTTCATGTTATAAGAATGGGATTTTAGCTGGGATGGCTGTGGTTAAGACACACATAAAGACGCTAGGATAGTAGATTCCAATGAGGCTTCTAAAAATGAATGATAATTATATGACGAATACAAAAGTTATTTATTTAAGAACTACTGAAAAAGTTTAATACTAGTCATGTTTATTATATTAGGAAAAATACAAGATTGAATTTGTGGGTAACAAAATTTTGACAAAAAAATTTCGAATTTTTGGCCCATGTTGCGTTAATTTTATGATGTCTCCATTATACATGCATCAGTTGAAGAATATGTAAAAGTGTTATTATATATTATCTTGTCTTTAATATAAGAGCTAGGTTAAAATTGAATTTAGTTCCAAACATAATATCTCAGTTTACTTTGACTCCTGATGTTATAATTTTTTCTAAAATATCTCTATTAATTGTATGTGGTCCCTAGTCTTACCAAGAGATAGTTCCTATGTACACAATTAAACAAGGTACTTTAAGGAAGCCAACAAATATATGTTACAGATAACTAACTAAATTAATTTTCTTAATATGCCTAAATTAGTTATCTAGCTTCTATATAAATAGCACAGGTAATATCATTGATTAGATTTAATTTAGAAATTCTCAAATAATTTTTTTGGGGTTATTTTTAGCATGAAATCAGAACTTATTGCAGGAATATTATTGCTCCATATAACTGGTTTAATTGGGGTTACAAGTATAACTACGAGAGTTGAATTTTCTATTTATCTTGAAGCTGAAAGGGAGAAAGGAAAGAGGGGGTGAATTAAAAACAATGAATCCCATTTACCCACTCCCGAGCTTGCTCAGTTAAAAAAAAAAAAACAAGCAGTGTAGCTACGACCATAAAGAAGCAAGGAAATGTAATAGGAAAAAACAATGGAAAGAAGAAGAAAACTAATGCAACCAATGATGAGGGAAGAATGAAAGCATTAGTAATGTGCTTGTGAGACTTTATCAATAATATATAGAAGTCCTTTTACTATGTCATCATCAAAATAATTAACTAAACATGAGTTGACAAGTATTACTTGATATAACATAGTAAATTTAGAACACCAATAATTTATTTTGCATGCTTATTTGGATCTGATACATAGGCATGCGCAAACCATCTAAATTACCATAATTTTTGCAAACACACGGCACAAATTACGATAAAACTTTTTTCCTCTTGTCCAATCCTTGTTAGTTAGTTTCCAATTGGAAAAGGAGGTATGCTCTGCTCATGCCTAAAGAAATTACTGGGATCAACCTTAGACTTCACCTTCACCAACCTTATAAAATTATCCTTAAAGTACTTGAATCCCCAAGTGCTTGCCCTCCAGAAGCTTGTACTATTGAACTGGTTCATCCCCAAATCAAGGTCTCTATAATTCACGTATGCTTCTCTTAGAAGGCTTGAAGCATAAGGAGCCATGGAATCATAGAATCTCCTTACCCAATTCATATGCTTTTCCATGATCTCTTCTCCATCTTCAAACCACCGAGCTACATACTGGGACAAGAAGAGTGTTCCATTTCTATGAGGAAATGGAGTTGTGGATTCTGATATTGTATTCATAATTCCTCCATATGGGACCCAAACCATCAAGGGCTCATCTTCCTCCATAAACCTTTTCCATATGGAATTAAAAGCAGTTTCGGGAAATTCTTGCCTCATAAACTCTGCCTTGGCCTTCAAGTAACCCTTCGAATCGGACGTCCCTCGGAGGAGAATTTCCGGGGATGTGGTGTTTGGATAGCCAGCAAAGTAAAGCACAGAGTTGATCCAACTTGTTTCAAAACAATCCTGTCTTGTTAGACCTAACTCTGGAAACTTATTCTTCATCAACTGGAGAAGCCTATCTGCCCTACCAAGGAAAAGAGCAATATAAGAAGTTGAAACAGTCCTTTTCCCTTGAGTACTAGAATTTGCTGCCCGCGTTTGAACCATAATCAACAGATTCTCATCAATGTTCGGTGCTACTTGCTGCCATTTATAGAGAATCCTAGTTGCATTTTGTTCTAAGGTTTTTGTGACAGTAAAAACTGTCACTATTGATGGGACCTGAACTAGCTTGATTCGCCACCATAAAATAACCCCAAAGCTTCCACCTCCTCCACCTCTAATAGCCCAAAATAAATCCTCTCCCATGGCTGCTCTGTCAAGAATCTTGCCGTTAGCATCCACGATTCGTGCGTCGACGACATTATCGGCGCCGAGTCCATACTTTCTGACCATATTGCCGTATCCACCTCCTGTAATGTGACCACCAACTCCTATGCTTGGGCAAACGCCTGCAGGGAAGCCATGGACTGGACTTTTCTCAGAAATTCTGTAGTAAAGTTCTCCGAGCGTTGCGCCGGCTTGAACCCAAGCCGTGTTTCGTGCTATATCGACGTGGATGGCACGAAGCTTGGCGAGATCTATGATCATGAAAGGCTTCTCAATGAGAGAAACATAAGAAAGTCCTTCATAGTCATGACCTCCACTACGTATCCTCACATGAATTTTGAGCTCTTTTGCGCATATAACAGCAGCTTGAACATGAGAATCCTCTAATGGAGTGAATATGAATTCAGGTTTTTGCACTGAAGGCAGCAAGTACCTTAGATTTTGAGCTGTGGATTCAAGAACTGAAGTGAAAGAAGCATCCTCAGGGGTGAAAAATGTGGTGGAAAATTGGATTGGATTCGGAGAATTTGCCTTAAGACATTGGGTGAAATGTTCTGGAATGTGGAATGATGAGGAACAAGATGAAACCGAAAGTAACACAAACATAGAAATCAACAATACCAGCAACCTTGAAGACCCCATGATTTTATTTAGTATCTCACACTCTTTGTTTTTTTCTGCGTATAAGACCGCATATTATGTCCTCTTATATACACTAATTGAGCTATGACGTAGTCATCTTTAACATATATAAATTTATTGGAGGAGTTCTTATATTAGTATTATAGACTAATGAAGATTCTATTCTGATTGACGTGGTCTATCAAACTGGTCTGCTCACAAGGAAGAAAATGGTTTCAGTGCTTTATTAGTTTGTAAAGCCTTTGACCAAAAATTTGCTTTGATTATTTTTCACAAAACCTTACTTTACGACAACAATAAACTAACGTAAGCAGCCATACCAAAAATGCATTATTGTGGCGTATGGTATAGAACCAATTAGCCAAAGATATATATTATGTATATCTAATTTTCATAGTCAATGCGTGTACCTTGCGGTTTTTCTTGTCATTGTTAGTTTTCTGTTTGATTTTACCAAAAATCTTTATTTTTTTTAAAATGAAAACTGTAATCTTTGAAATCAACTGCAATAAGACAAAATACAAATACTAGTTAAAAAATTTCTAGCCTCTCTCGTCACTATCTGCCTCCTGGATTAGAGGTGGGGATTGATCAAAGATAGTAAAATTACTAACCATGTTGTGCAGCTAATTAGCTAAGTAGTCAGCTGTGGATAATCCCTCCCTATACGAATAACTCAAAATCTTTCGTTATGAAAATGTAACGTGTGGTATAAAGCCATTGACCAAAGCATATAAGCCATTAGTCATACAATTGTCTATGTTGTGCAATATTTTGAGTGGAAAATTATATTTGTTTGGCTTAAATTTTAATCATTTTAGGTTAAATAGTACTCCTCCGGTCCTTAATATAGGACTCAATTGATGAGTTGGTTTTGGTCCTAAATATAAGACTCATTTATCATATTTATTAATTTTCTCTAAATTACCCATATGAATACTCCTCAACCATAATCAAGTAAAAAAGGAGAGGAGGTATTAAGAAAGATGACTATGGTATTTTAGGAAAAATATGTCACATTTCTTATAATTAACTAACTTACCTAACTTCCTTAATCTAATCAAATTAATTAAATGGGTCTTATATTAAGGACCGGAAGAGTACTAACAATTGTGCTTATACTGTTTACATTAATCTCATAGTCATCATTTATGCTATATGCGTTTTCTACAATATTATATGCTAGCTACCTCCTACCTCTGTGGTTATTTAATTACCATTTGTTTTTTAAATATAAAAAATAGTGCATATATTAATAATAATATTTTCTTGCCACTTGTATTTAGAAACAAAATTCAGATGATTTCCTTTGTGTTACGTTCCACAATACGCATAATATTAAATTATAATTTTGATTGGGTTGCGCCCTAAGCATTAATTGAAAATCTATAAATCAACGTTATTAGTTGTCCTTCCTTATGAGTTGTGTATTGTCTCGTGTAGAAGAAGTCTAGGTCAACGAATTGAATTTGTCTACTCAATCTAAAAAGATGTACTATATAGAATAATTATTTTTTAGGTACTTATATATATATATATATATATATATCAAGGTTTGGAATTATAGGTACCTATAATTTTGTATTTCAAGGTTTGGAATTGGTCCTTGTATTTTACTTTTTCTTTTTTAATAATTCCCTAAAATGTCAAATTGTTTGAAATTTTAACACATTAACTGTGTCTAACGCGTCATTGGTTAAAATTTCAAATTTTATATTCTTAACATGTCCACCTCAGTATTTAACGTATTAACTTCAAAAAAAAAAAATTTCTAGGCACATATATCCTCCTAAAGTTATCTTGTTTGTATCAACGTTTGGAGGAAAGAATGTGCGACTGAAAGTGTAAAATGTGAGGTGGAGGGAAATGTGAAGATTGGGCCTTGTCTGGATGAGCCATATGATGGAATTCAAGCTAAAAGCTGTTTCAACGTGATAGTTATTTTAAAGTTCTTTAGGGAAAAAAATTACTCTTCTACTGTATGAGAAAAAGAGAGAAAAAGACAATAAAGAAGCAAGTAGAGAGAAGAAAAAAAGGAAAAGAGAAGGGAAAAAAAAAGGAAAAGAGAAGGAACGAGAGGGAAGGAAAAAGACAATAACAAAAGAAGAAATTTTTTTAAAAAATGACATTAAATATGGGAAGAAAGATAGATAAAGAATCTTGAAATTGTGATATTTCAATTTAGATACCCAATATTTCAAAATGACAAGAACTAAAGTAAATCCAAATCGATATTTTGAAATTTAAAAAAAAAATGAAAAAAATACTCCTTTCCTTTTTTTTTTTTTTGAGAAAAAAAAGTTCAACCCTCTGCCGGTAGCTAATGGTGGCTGTTGGTGAAGGAGAATTTTTTCTTGAGCTAAAAGAGGAGAAATTTTTTTTAAGAAAGTGATGGAGGTGTGATTTGATCTTACTGCCCAGTAGTCATTTGGGCCAACGAAAATAAAAGTGACCAATTTTGTTGGCCCAAATGACTATTAGGTGATGCGATCAAATTTCACATCCATCACTTTCTTAGGAAGATTTTCCCCCTTTAGCCAAAAAAGTTTCTCAAAACAAAAAAAATCCTCCTGCAGGCAACCACCATGCTAGTAGCTAATCACTAGCAGTGGTCGGCCGTCTACATGGTCTCTAGTCTCTAGTGAGAGGTTGAACATTTTTTTAAAAGAAAAAGATTTAATGTGTAATCTTGATCTTGATTTTATTTTTCAAGTACTATTTTGTCTATGATCTTTTTAATAGTGTAAATTTGACTTTGATCTTAATTTTTTTGGTATAATTTTGAGCACACGTTCAAAATTGCTAATGGTTATAAACAACTAGTTTTTATCTGTACCAGTTATATTGACCAATATGATATAAATACAATTTTTTGTGTTGGATTTTGAGTCTACATTCACCTTTGATGAGCCTGATTATTTGATCAGGAATGGAGAATCTTCTTGATCAAACAAATCCTAGTTAATCAAGGAAATGAATTTCCATTAACTCTTAAGAGACAAGGAATGATTGACCAAAAAATCAATCAGACATTAATTACCAATTGTAAATTAAAAACAATCTGAATATTATCATGCAATTAATGGGTGAGATTGCCTCTTCCTAAATTGTGGTCACCCGAACCCTATAAATAAGAGGTGTCTCTCCCTTTCTCTTTATCTGAACCATTGAATGATTATCTCTTATTCTCTCTCTATTCTCTCTTCTGTGGTGCTATTTATTTTTCTGTCACCTTTAAAATTTTAGAAAATGGTCAAATAAGTTTTTTCAATGGTCACATATCTCTTATATGAAAAATATTCATCTTGAGCTGTCAAATGTTATTGTCTAATTCATTTTTTTAATGCATTTTCCTTTCTCTTTTGAGAAAGAATTCTCAAATGAAAAATCGTCTTTTATATCCACTGTAAAGTAAGAGTATACACGCCCCCTGAAATCCCCGGGCAACGATGGCCTCCATGCTCTCTTCTTCCAATCACAATGGAGGATTGTTGGGAATACGGTCTTTACTGAGCTCAAGAGAATCTTTGAAGGAGAGCCTATTGATCCTAAACTTAATCAGACGCTCATCTCCTTGATTCCCAAAGTAGACCGACCCCAAACAATGAAGGATTTCCGGCCAATTTAGCCTTTGTACAACGATGTATAAGTTGATAACCAAGATCATAGCGAACAGGCTAAGGCCGGCCATGGCACTCCTCTCACTCCCTCAACAAGCAAGCTTCATCCAGGGTAGGAATATTACAGATAACATCATCATTGCACAAGAGGTGATTCACTCGATGAGAAAGAAAACCAGGACGAAAGGGTGGATGGCTATCAAAGTGGATTTGGAAAAAGCCTTTGATAGACTGAGATGGGACTTCATCCAAGACACTCTGATAGATGCCCGGATACCTGGTAAATTAATCTGACTAATCATGCACTGTCTTCAGAGCTCGACGATGCAGGTTCTCTGGAACGGTAAGGCTGCGAGCCCCTTTCATCCGCAGAGGGGAATCCGCCAAGGCGATCCTTTGTCCCCGTGTATCTTTATTCTTTGCATGGAGAGACTATCCCAAGCAATTAACTCAGAAGTGGAGAAACTCAAATGGCAACCTATCAAAATGGGAAAAAAAAAAGGACCACCTATCTCCCACCTCTTTCTTGCAAATGATTTAATGCTATTCAACTCCACAGAGACATCACAAGCCGCTTTGATCCATAAGCTACTCACTGACTTTTGTGCTGCGTCAGGACACATAGTCAGTGCTGCCAAAACTAGAGTTCATTTTTCCAGAAACACAAGCCATCATGAAGCACGGAGGATATGTGATCAACTGGGTTACCAGAAAACTGAAAATCTTGGGAGGTACCTGGGTGTACCTCTGCTCCATAAAAGGATCACAAAGGATACCTACAGATACATTGAAGATAGCATCAACAAGAAATTATCGGGTTGGAAGGCTAAATCCCTATCGCTAGCGGGACGAATCACCCTAGCACAGTCAGTGCTCTCAACCATTCCGTTTTTCGCCATGCAAACAACCAAACTGCCAGCTGCTACATGCCACAGGATAGAAACACTTATACGGAATTTTATCTGGGGGGATAGTGAAAGCCACAAAAGCATCCACCTGGTAAACTGGAACACGCTATGCCAACCCAAAAACCGTGGAGGATGTGGTTTAAAAAATCTTGAAGGCCAAAACAAGGCTTTTATTATGAAGCTTGCTTATACTCTGAAAACCCAAGGTGACCGATTATGGGTGCAGGTCCTACGAGCCAAGTACAGATGGGATAAAATAGTTGAACGTCCTACCAATGCGAAGCACGTCTCCCACCTCTGGCGAAGTCTGTATTGCGTGTGGGACGAGTTAGACCTGGGAATCAAGTGGAATGTGGGTAATGGACAACTTACGCGCTTCTGGGCTGACCACT